ATAGGAAATAGCAAGAGTGATTACAATAGTTCCTATTGCATTACATGCATAGGAACTAAAAAGTGTAAATTTAATTACCATATTACAACATGGTGCCCAATAAACTTTTTTGGAATATACACCTGCATCAATTGATAAATTTAATTGGGACCAAGGAAGATATTAAAACAAGTTGATGTTTATGTGGTATAAACAATTAACAAGTATGGGAGTGCTCAAATTGCATAAATAAAGGATTAAGATTTAGATAAACAAATAATGTAAATTAGGTAATTTTATCAATTGGCCAATCAAATTTGAGGAAAGTGGTTTTTTGATGCTTTTAATTAGGATTTTCCAAGCAGGAACATCATTATACTGTAGTTCCATGTTCCAACCAAGCTTGCTAGAAGACTTTCTTAGACTACAAGATCATTTGAAAACTATATCTTTAATTAAGCACATTTTCAACCATTACCAGGTAAGATTAAATAATTTCTTATGGTTTAGGCCCAATAAAAAAAATTATTAATTTTAATTTTATCACCCTCGCGCAAATGTTTTCTATGTTACTGAAATTTTTTTTTTTTTTTTTTTTTCATTCCCTCATTTTTTAAAATTAAATAGTAAATATTGCTTAATCATGTTTACTTTGAAAATCAATGCACCAGGAAACAACCCAAGGGTTATAATCGGGTTCAGCAAAATAAAAAAAATTTAAAAACCCTCCCTCCATCATCACTTTTCCAGCCTAGATAGGGTGATACACTAATAATATTTTTTATAGGCCTTTATGACTAATATTCGATACAGGGCCGGTAAATCAAGACCTTTTTTATACCATACCTTCTTTAGCGAATCCACCAATAACGATGATTTCAGATAAGCGTTGAATGTATAATAAAGTAATAATTAATAAAATAATATATTACTGTATGAAGAATTATATTGTAAAACAAAAGTTAAATTTTATAAATATTTCAACTAGGCTCTAGTGCTACTTGCGTTTAAGAGCAACGCATGTATGTGGCTCTGCAAAACTTGAGATTCAGTTCCCCGAGCCGAGATATTGTTCTTATTCGTAACTGGTTATACTGTAAGTAATTCAAAAATACTGTAAAGATTTGTTATTAACACCACAAGTTAAATTTTAATAGTCAACAAAATACAGTAGGCTTTAAAACATCCCTCGATTCGGAGGACAGAGAGTAGAATTTGCACTCATAGCCTAGAAAAAATAATGTGAGTAAACAACCGTAGCCATGCGCAGTACAACTTATCTTTGTGATAGCTAATTCAACACTAAAAACTAAAAAAAAATGCCTATATTTAAACACACTTTTAAATGCACTCTAAAGGTAATTATTTTCTATTTTTTTCTTACATACGGAAGGGGGAACTCCCTTCTCAAACCCACACCCACTCATAATTCATAATTTTATTTCACCCAAAACGAAATAAGTCTGCTAGGCAAAAAAGGGAACATGTCCCTGTACAAGATGTGTGCTGCTTTTTTTTTTTAATATTTTCCTATTGTCTATTTAATAGAATGCCAACAAAGAATGCTGAAAAAATGAGAAAGTGGCGAGAAAAACAAAAGAATGCGGGAAAGTATGATGAAATAAAGAAAAAAAATAATGAACGAAGGAAAAAGAAAAGAGCCAGCCTGTCCCATACGGAGTTGAAGGCACTCAGGAGGAAAGAACGGCAGCGGAAGAAGAATTCTAGAGCCAGGAGGAAACTTCAATCTGAAATCGACTCCAACAAAATGCCGGATCCGACAATGGATGAAGCAGTTGCGCTAGTATTACGCGAACTGCCGAAGAGTCCACGTATGAGGGCGGAAGTAATTAAACTATTGGTAGAACTTTATGTCTACGATGAAGATGAACAATGATGGACGCTATACTGTATACAGTAGTCGAAAGTAGAAAAATATCTCCGCTAACGAAAACGTGATATTCCGATTTATATTTAAAACAACAATGTTTTTATTGTTAAATCCATTGTGTCTAGAAACTTCAGTACTGCAAGGTATTTTAATAAATGTTTGTTTTGAATAAATTTGTTTGATTTTCACTCATTTAGAATAACCTTGCACTGGGAGAAGGAAAAAGCAAGACCTTCCCAGTCAGGAGTCCAGTAAAACTCCAGTGCGGTGAATAAAAAAGGAACCATACCAACTTGCATTCCTGCAATCTCGGTATTTCTTACAAACTGTTAAATTCCACTTGCTGTACCCTAAGAATGGTACATGAAATAATATTAAGTATTTGTATTTAATACTTTTATAAGAAAGTAATAAAAATTTGAGGAAGATCCCAGTTAATAAAACAACACATCTATCAACAATTCTGCATACCGTAAATCCTTATATTAGTACCTCTCTCGAATAACTGCTGCACTGAAGTCTACATAAATGTTATAGGCGCTGCGGTACTGCGGTATTTATTCGAGGCATTACGGTAAACTTGAAGTTAACTGTAACCAATAACGTTAAGTGTGCAGAAAGTTTAAACAGTTGTTTACACTTTGCGAAGAATACAGCATTTCATTGCTAAGCCGATTGCAAACAACAAATCTAAACGAATTTTTCTCTCTATGGTATTGGTGAACACGAATGAAGCAAAGCTAGGCCTAGAAAGGCCTTAAAGGCTAATGATAGAAATACTGGTTGAAAATATTTTTTTAAATATAATCTTAAAATGTAATAAAAGAATTTATAAATGTAGATGCATAAAAAAATACAGGTAGGAATTACATTAATTTTAACATAGTTTCACATAGTGTTACATTATAACATTTAGCCAGAATAAATGGTGGTTAAATGCAGTACTTGCAGCCAATCAGAATTCAACAAGGATTCATGTTTGAAAATTGTTATTTAAATTCACTTACCAGTGTTTGTTTTCCATCTGGTAAAGTCGCATTGACAGAAAAAGTTGTAGCGCCCGCTGACGTGGAACGTACTCTCCCATGCGGTTCCGATAAGAATCTGTTAGGCCAAATCCGAGGTAACATATTGTGGTATTTCTCAAAGCAATCATCATCCTCCTCGAAAGATTCTAGATCAATGTCTTCTAATTCCAGCCTCTGAAGGGCTTTTGATGTATCTGATTCGGACTGGGTTCTTTGTCGGGGTTTGCTAAGGCGTTCACCAGTACGGACAAAAAGACCTTTGAGCCCGCGAGTCTGCTTTAATTTCTCGGTGGGTTTACTTGTGGACATTTTTCAGCCTTTTAGGAAACACTGAAGTCACTGAGAATCATCTGCAGAACTATCTGAC